GGACTCTAAAATGTCTTTCCTTTGAGTCAGTAGCTAAATGCAAGGTTTTTAGGTGGTGAAGGGTACATTTACTCTTTCATTTTTTCCCCTTCCTTTTATTTAATTTTTCTTATTTAGTGAGTTGAAATTAGACATATTTTAAGCTAGTTTTCACATCAGTTGTGAAGATGTGTCTGTTGTATTTATTAGAGGCTCAGGAGATCTGCAAAGCACCATCTAACTTAGTAAGTATCACTTGCAGGGGAGGAATGTTTAATCTTAGGTTGTGTAAGTCTAAGTTGTGCTGTCTTAAATTACTTCTCTCTTTCTCACAGATGTGTATGGATTCCGAAAAACACATGATATATACCTTTGGAGGCAGAATCCTGACCTGCAATGGCAGTGTGGATGACAGCAGAGCCAGTGAACCACAGTTCAGTGGGTTGTTTGCTTTTGACTGCCAGTGTCAGACATGGAAACTTCTCAGAGAGGATTCCTGTAATGCTGGACCCGAGGATATCCAGTCCCGAATAGGACACTGTATGTTGTTCCATTCTGTAAGTATCCACACCAAACTTGGATTTATGATGCCTGACTTGAAGGAGAACATCTGGGTTTGATTTTTCTTGGAAGTTTAAAGCTCTTTAATCTCCCAAGCGGTGTGTTGGCTGACTTGATTTCATGTTTGCTGACATTCTGATGCTGCTTTGGTAAGTGCAGGTGGTATTAATTCAAGATTTGGAGCTTTCAGGACTTGAAAGGAATAAAATTTCAAGTAAAAAACAAGGTGAATCTTACATGGTTGTTTTTAATAGAATAATTATAAATAGACCCAAAGGCTGTGGTTCAGCTGGATCTAAAGAGTTTTTCTGTTAAAGTTGGTAGAGCAATTTAGAAGCTTCTGGTCTAGTAGATAATCTATGTAGTTACTAGAATGGAAATTGGACTAGTGCAGAGGCTTTTTGGGTGTGTATTGAGATGCACAGGCCTCCTATTCCCTGCTGCTGAGCCCCTTGCTGCTGCTTGTTGTCCTGAGCAGCTGTTAACAGCTGGGCACGGCTGGCAGTATGGGCACTTCATCCAGAGCCTGATGGAAAGGCAGAGGGATGGGACAGCAGGGTGTGTATATAGCATTTATTTAGTACTGGATATTAAAACCCACCTTCCATTGCCTTTCCTGTTGGGAACTGCAGGGGGAGGGTGGTTACTGCCCTGTGTGTTCTGGGCTAGCTTTACATGTAGGTGTTCTTGGGGGAATAGCACAGCACAGAGGGGATCAGCATCAAGTAGGAAAGCTTGCATGGTGCAGTGACAGTTCTGCACTGTATTTACATGGAGCTTCTAAGTGGTAGCAAGTGGAGTTTGTAGAATTTTGCTGACATTAAACTGACTCGGAGGTTAAAAAGAGAGTTCAAATTATTATTGTGGTATTCAAGTGTATACTGATACCACCAATTCAAACCTGACCAGCTTCAACAATTTACTGAGTTTATTTTTCTTTCCCTTTCAAATGAAGGATTGGAATTTTTATGGTGAATACATGTTTTCAGAGCCTTCAGTTTGATTTTTGCTTTGAATGGCTCTCTAAAATCTGGTGACAAACCTATTGCCACACACAGTTCTGCACAAGTACCTGAGGGTTCTTCAACTGTGCTTCTGTGGTGAACGTAAGAATACAGGTTTCTGTAAGCACAGGGCCTGGAAGTTCAGTTCCCTTGCTGTTTTCTCAGCCATTTGAAAGAAAAATAATCTGCCTCTTAGAGACTTTCCACTTGGCAAACTTGAAAGAAGTAATAAACCTGTTATTCTTGGCTTGCTGGTTGCCACTTGCCTGTTCTGAGTTTAGTAATGTGCAGGTACTTGGACGGTTTCTTTTACAGTCCGTCTTTTGTTCTTGTTTGGACTTCAGTTAACAATGAAGTTATGATTTAAGGAGTTTTAGACGTGAAAACTGTTAATTCTTTAATATTAAGAATTGAATTGCTCTTTTAATGTTTTGAAGTTGTTGCTGGATCAGGCAAGTCTACAGTAGTTAACTATAAAATCTGCCTAGTCACTCTGGAGCTGAAACCGTTGGATCCAGGTTTGTGGGCTCATACAGATTATGAAAACTCCTTAAAATTGCATTTGCAAGAAGCTCTGAACCCTTAATGGTTTATCCCTTGAAACTGAGAAATGATAGATTCAAGACTCAAGACCAAGCATTCTTAAGGTTTTTACTGAGTTTGAGAATGATACTGTTGGGAATAATTGTTCCCTCTGAATCTTTGTGGAGACGGCAGTAGAAGATACTGGTAGACCTGATAGCTAAGGCATGGTTTTAAACTCCTAAGGAATGTATCTGTTACTCTCTGATTCATTAACGCTTCTGTTAATGGTCACAGTTGGCCAACATACTTCCTTGAGCTTTGTAAAGGCATCCTTTTGTTTTCCCTCCTAGAAAAATCGCTGCTTGTATGTATTTGGTGGCCAGAGGTCGAAGACTTACTTGAATGACTTCTTCAGTTACGATGTAGACAGCGATCATGTGGATATCATATCAGATGGCACGAAGAAAGATTCAGGGATGGGTAAGAGAATAACTACATATTAATTAATAACTGCTACAAATGAGAACTATATTGTTAAGTAGGTGAAAGGCCAGCTTCAGTGGCCTGTGGTATCAGGTTAGCATCCTTAACCAGGCCTACGCACCCAAGTGAACTCCACACCATATAGGTTAAACTTATGCCAGCTCTTCTGTCCCTCCTGTCATTTGACGCTCACCCTCTTCATCACAGTACAAATAATTGATGTGTGAAACCACATAGCACCTCACTAGAAAAAAATTCAGCAAAATAAGAACTAAAACCATCTCCTGTGAAACTCCAGCAAAGACCGAAAAAAAAGCAGGTGGCTGAAAAAGTCATTTTCTTTAAACCAGGAAAGGAGAAAGCAATTTTTTTTTCCGAGTTTCCACCAAGTGAAAGATGCAGTAAAATAGAAATAAGCTGCTTGGTTTGAGATGCAGAAAGGCAGGTAGGATGCTCAGACACAGCGACTGGAGTAGGACCAGAGGTTATTTTGTGTGCCAAGAGCTGACTAGAAAGATGAGACCTGTTGTCCTGTTATTCTTGTACTAAATTATCATAGAATCAACTAGGTTGGAAAAGACCTTAAATATCATCAAATGGAATCATCAGGGAGAGGCAAGAAAAGGGAGGAGGAGGGAGCAAATGTTTAGTCTCGTTGAGTTCACATCATAGAGCTATAGACACCAGGCATAGTTCTGTATACCAGAAACCTTTAAAAACACACAAAAGGTGTTGCAACAGAACCATAAAGAACTGATTTTATACCTTTTCCTCTCAACTAATGTAGAGAAGAATGCTCTTTTCCAAACAGGATTTTTGTCGTGAGGGTGCTGAGGCGCTGGCACAGGCTGCCCAGAGAAGCTGTGGCTGCCCCATCCCTGGCAGTGTTCAAGGCCAGGTTGGACAGAGCCTTGGGTGACATGGTCTGGTGTGAGGCACCCGTGACCATGGCAGGGGGTTGGAACTGGGTGATCTTAAGGTCCTTTCCAACCCAAACCATTCAGTGATAAACACATCATTTTCTTCTTGCAGATATCCTCCCTTGCAGCACACAGCTCAGAAACTGAAAGTTATGTTCCACTATAGGCCAGAAGTTCTGAATATTTCTCATGTTATGTATATTTAGTCCTGATCTTGTTTTCTCTTCTTCCAGTTACAAAATCCCAGGAAGCTCATTTATCTTGAGTTTAGGCTATCCTCCTTCTTTTGATCAGCCTTAATTTTTAGCAAGTAATTTTGCTGAACTTCTGAAGGTGAATTATTGATGGTTATGAGTTATTGTTTGCTCATTCAGTTAGTTATGCCAGGGAGGGAGAAGAGTACCCAAGCTCTTATTCTCTGGAGTCATTTATTTACTTGAGTGCTTCCAAGAAAGAACCAGCTGATATTGTTGACAGTCTCCTTTATTGAGGTGCCTGCATGTTGCCTGTTGCTGCTTTACACACACCCACACACCATGTGTTGGCCTTAGAGCTTTTAAAGAACTGATTATTTTTTTCCACCATGGAATTGCATTCTACCATTTTGCTTTTTAAAAACTGTATTTCTTTATAGCTTTAAAACATGGGGCTTTAAGCTGACACATGTGTCCAGCTCAGAGTTAAAGATCCTGAGCTTGTCTTATGGCTGGAGAATCATAGAATTGTTTGTGTTGAAGAGACCTTAAAGCTCCTCCAGCTCCAACCCCTGCCCCGGGCAGGGACACCTTCCACTAGAGCAGGTTGCTCCAAGCCCCTGTGTCCAACCTGGCCTTGAACACTGCCAGGGATGGGGCAGCCACAGCTTCTCTGGGCACCCTGTGCCAGCGCCTCAGCACCCTCCCAGGGAAGAGCTTCTGCCTCAGAGCTCATCTCAATCTCCCCTCTGGCAGGTTCAAGCCATTCCCCTTGGCCTGTCCCTACATCCCTTGTCCAAAGCCCCTCTCCAGGTCTCCTGGAGCCCCTTTAGGCACTGGAGCTGCTCTAAGGTGTCCCCTTGAGGAGCCTTCTCTTCTCCAGCTGCCCCAGCCCAGCTCTCTCAGCCTGGCTCCAGAGCAGAGCTGCTCCAGCCCTCGCAGCAGCTCCGGGGCCTCCTCTGGCCTCACTCCAGCAGCTCCACGTCCCTCTTGTGCTGTTCCCCGGAGCTGGATCAGGGCTGCCGGGGGGGGGCTCCCCGAGCACAGGATGCCCTCTCTCAACCTGCTGCTCACACTCTGAGGATACAGCCCAGCATATGGTTGGCCTTCTGGAGAATACACTGAGCTCTGCTTCTCAGCAAGTACATCAACCTCCAGGTTCGGTTGAGCAAATGAGATGATAATATTTAGCCCTCCTCCCCATTCCCACAGGCCCCAAAGTGGTGAATAGTAGACTTTGTAAGAAAATGACTAATTGGAAATAATTCATGAGTCGATTTTCAGTTTACTGTTCTCCTGTGTGTAGAAAGTCAACAAACAGATCTGAACGTTTCCTTGCCTTTGAAAGAGAACGGGAGGAATATTTGCATTTTAGCAGGAAGAGAACAAAATGCTTGTTCCATTCAGACAGCAAACATTGACAACACTACTTTCAACCCCAAAAAGCAAGTCTTTATTGTGCTCTGTTAGGTAGTGCTCTACCATTTTGATCTGTATGAACAAAGCGATTCCCTGTCTGGTCGCTGTGCAGTTTCAAGCTGCTCAATGTGATGAGTCAAGTTGAGGATGCCTGACCTAAATGTTCCTCTAAAGTCCCATGATTACATTTTGTTCCTGGCTCGCATGTGGCATTCAGTTCTATTCTTAGTTGAGCTATTTTGATTTTTACCCTTCCTAAAAGAACTTAATTGTGCATTTGTATGAAATTTCCATTAGTGAGAAGAGTTCTATAGAACTAGTAAAAGGGGTAGTTAAGGACTAGCAGCAACGCGGGCTTGTTACAGTGCTAGAAAACTATGGTACTACTAAGTTGTTTTTGCTGTTGTCATCTTCTGGATGAGGTATTTATGCTGTTCAGTTGTGCCTTTGTTGATCCTGGAACCAGTTCCTTGTATAGGTGACGTGTTTGAGAATATTGGGCGATGATACTGCTCAAATCTTCATGGTTTGGAGTAAAGGACAATAATTTTAGCAAGTTTAACTGTGCTTTTCTCCTGGGAAAGTTCACACTGGATCAAGGAAGTTTCTAAAACACAGAGCTTTGCCTGAACATGTCTCCTGACTTGATCTGCTTTGAAACATGGGTGAGCCTTGCAGCTTGTGGTGGCTGGCACATGCCAGAATGGCACCAGGTGATGGAATCACAATCCCTGGAAGTATTCAAAAGCTGTGTAGATATGAGGCCTTAGTGACATGGTTTAGTGGTGGCTTTGGCAGTTCTGGACGTGATGAGGTTAAAGGTCTTTTCCAACCTGGTTGATTCTATGAAAATCCTGGTGCTTTCTCTTTGCTGTCAAAGAGAAAGTGAAATTAGGCCTTTAGGGATGGTTATCTTTCTGCTACTTAATAACTGGTAGGAGCAAGAAATTCCAAGTTCAGCTATAGAATGGATAAAATGGGACTGAGGAAAAGAGAATGCAGCTGTGATAGTCAGATGTGAGGAAAGGCGGTAGTGCTACAAATTGGAGGAAGTGTAATGCAATTGAGTAGAACCTGTGGTTGGAGGACAGGAGGAAATGTGTACATTGATGGACAGACCCTTTTAGAGCAGTTGTATACTTTTAATTACTTAAACCCCAAACCCAACAAACAATAACACACAAACAACAACAACAAGAAAACCAAACCCAACTTGTGTATGTCAGAGTGTATCTCTGAAGCATACACGTGGTCTAGAGATGCCACCAGTATCAGTATGCCCCCCATCCCTGGCAGTGTTCAAGGCCAGGTTGGACACAGGGGCTTGGAGCAACCTGCTCTAGTGGAAGGTGTCCCTGCCCGTGGCAGGGGTTGGAACTGGAGGAGCTTTAAGGTCCCTTCAACCCAAACCAGTCTGGGGTTCTATGATCAGATATCTTCAGCTGTACTGCCAGCTTGCATGACTTGCTTAGCGCACAGCCCATGACTAAATCATGGGCAGTCATTTCAGGTCTGTGGGAGCTAACGGGAACTCTTGTGGCCAAGGTTCCTGTGATAATCCTTTTATGACTCAGTTGATGTATCAGAGCCGTTGGTCAGAGGGAGAATTTCCTTCTGCAGTAGAATCAAGATCATATTATATCCCTTGGCATCGAGTATCTTCAAATGAAAACAAGCCTTAAATGTTCTTGTGGCTTCTATTTATGGTGAAGTAGGCTCTGTGGGCAAATGGCAAGTATTTATAGCTACTGGTGAAGGTCCTATGTCTCTTGCTGGGGCAGGTGCTCCTTTGGGATACAGATGTGTGCCCCTGGCAGAGGGGATGTTTCATGGGTAAGTACCACGGACAGAGGCGACACAGCCCAGCCCAGGAAATGCTGATCCAAGCCAAGACTAAGTCAGAAACACATGAATCAAAAGAGATAGATAGCACAGCTCAGCATGGCCAGGACCAACTCAGACCAGCAATCTGAATATCCCATTTTGATCATCTCTTTGTGCCCCCTGACATGTTTTGCTCTTGTTCAGTTCAAGTTCTAACTTGCCAGTAGCCAGCGTATCTCTTGCTATGGAAGCACTTGGGTTTGTGAGGGCCCGTATGTGTTCTTCATCTGAACCAATCTCAAAATGCTTTCCTCTGGCTGTGAAGGTGAGGAGGAGGGCAGGCAGGCACCAGATCCTAAAGATGCTTTACAGAGATGGCACAGCAGCAGCAGAATTCCATTCAGATTGACTAGCTGACCTGTTGTTTCCAAAATCTCATGTTGCTTGGGAGACAACTAAGTGTTGGGCTGTTGCTTTCTCACTGTGACAGCCAGCCTGTGTGCTATCACTCATCAAGGCTTGCTCCATGAAAGTTCAGGGGAGGTGCTGCTTCAGTGGTGTATGGATTTTAAGTTGTGGTATGGAGTAATTTGCTGACCTACTGCTTTTTAAAAGTGAATATAGCAGGGAGGTGCCAGTTTGTGGTGAACATCAATATCCATGTGATGTAGCTTCCTCCTATTTTCTAATCACAAGGCATCACAAGGAAGGAGGATACTTGCCAATCAGTTGTGTTGGGATTAGCAGTAACATGTTCTGAGGGTTTCATAACTTAGGTGGCACTGAAAGGCTGTCAATGAACTTGTTTCCCTTGATAATCCTTCACAATTCCTTTGGAAGTGGTCTGTAGGCTACAAGTGCTATATCATGCTGTGCTTCAGAGCATGTTTAAAAACATGCTCTAGTATCCTCTCAAAGGAGAGAGATGAGATGTAATTCCCAAACTTCTCTCTAGTATGATGACAATCACATCTGTGAACTCAGATTTACTGCTTTGTAAGCTCTGCCTCTGTTTTCTTGCTTGGATACAAGGAATAGCCAACATCGCACCTTGAAATGACTGTGTTTGCAAATAGAAGCCAGAAAACGTTCAGCTTGCTGAAATGATCACTAGGATCCAATAAATGCCTGAGTGGGATGGTGATAGTGGGAATGTATCTCTTGCATGATTAGGTGTCACTTTTGTAGGAAAGCTGTTTCCCATGCATTGTATTTAAATGGGAATTACATTGTACAGGGTTACACAGCACCTTATCGAAGCTTTCTCAGGAGTTACTCCTTGTTTATGTAACTGGCTGCTAACTCAAGGCTTGTGTGGCTGAATATTGTTTTCAAATACTGAGGCTTTGAGCTTTTCATTTCTGCTATATAAAGATAAATGAAAATGTGGAGTTCTGGAGGGAGGATTCAGACCTCTCGCTTCCAACAAGTTACTGCCCTCCTACCCTTGACTGGTTAATGAGATTACAGTGGGAAAAAGTAGTGGCATGGGAAAAGCATTCCTCATCTAGTAGGCTTTGGGGCATTGTATTGCTTTTAGTAATTTCTCTCTGCAGCTTTTCCTCTTCAATCAGTAATGTATTGTCACAGGAGCCAAGTTAATATCGCATAGCGACAGGCCAGTGCTGTGTTCAAAACAACCAGGGCCGAGTCCTTACTTGCTGCTTTATGTCCTTCAAGCTGACCTGAGCGATCCCTGGCCCTGAGACACACTCTGAAAGGTGTGAAATCTGTGGAGATATGCTCCAAAGCTGACATAAATTAACGTGAAGAAGCAGAAGAGTGAGGTACCTTCTGTGGAGCCACTTTTACCACTTCATGCCCTGCTTGGATCTACTACGCTGTGAATCGTAGTTCTTGCAGCGCGCTGCCTTAACATGTCTGATTCTTCCTTCTTCTTGTTTATGACTTTGTGCTCTTAAGCCTTTAAAACATACATCCTGAGCAATCAGCTGCTGCCAGAGCTTCAGTTTTATCTCCTATGCAGAATTAAATTTCCTCTTCAACATACATTTTGGTACCTAAATATCACAAGTACTTTTCTCAGGTTTACAGCCCGTGTCCCTCTCTAATGTGCTGACCACAGTCATTTGGATTACATCCAGCAGTTACTGCAAGTCCCCAGCACTTGCAGATCATGAAGCTCTCTTACCCCCTAGTGGAAGTATTTGTAAGTCATGAGGATTTTATGCAGCTCTTCTGCTCTGTCAAGGATCACGCTTCCTTGGCAAACAGCTTTTGGATGATTCTGTTGTGTTTAAAATATCCCAGCATTTCCTGCTTACTGTGTAGGAGCTTGCCTTAGTTTCTATTTATTTTCAGGGACTTTTTAACCAAATCTGTGTTTTTTTGTGTTTTATTTAATCGTATTACATCTAACTTTACAATTCACTGCAAAAGGCTAGATGTCAACTTCGTCTTTAGCCCAAGGCACTACTTAAATATGTTTTCTACACAGTTGCTTGACCTACCTAAAGGTCAAAGAGTTTGTGTAAGTTGTTCCTCATCCTAAGCCCTACTAAATGTAGGGATAATATGTATTCTGATATACTATTTTTCTAGCCATTCTGCATTTCAAACAGTCTCAAGAAGACATTGATTTACAACTGAAGGAAGCCTGAAATGACTTGACTTGGATTTGGTTTTGATTGCAGCTGCTGCGGATAAATCCTGTCCTTGCTACCAAGAATAAACAAGAGGCACTGAACTTTGGTGGCTTTTCCCTCCTTCATTACTGAAATAATCATTTCAGCTTCAGGAAGTCCAGAATAAATGAGAGACAAAATTCATTTATTTAACAACATGGAGATGGGATTCCAGAGACAAGTTTCATACTCTTTCTGTATCAGCATTAGTATAGCAACCGTATTGCTCATGATTATAATAACTTCCATTTCAGTGAGCCTCAGGTGTTAATGCTGTGAAGATTTCATGCTTTTCTCTCAAAACCCTGGCATGGGCTTCACTGTTCAAAGCAGCAGATAGGGTTGGAAAGACATTTTCCATGTACATTAGCATCGCTGCTCAAATTCAGATGGTTCTCCTGCCAGAACTGTCTCAAATCTGCCTTGAATTTAATCCTTCAGGGTCAATGCAATGAAAGCAAGCACACTACATGATGCTCTTCGAAGAATTAACAATATATAGTCTATAATTGTCTTTATATTTAGTCTGCAATTGTCTTTTTACTCTTTTACTTCCTTACTGAGTGACTTTCACAGTCTTTATTAGTCTTACTAGGAAACTTCTTTGTGGTTTGCAGGTAAAACAGGGTATGTGGTTGTTGTGCCAGCGTTGTTCCCTGTTCTTTCCTCCGCTCTGCCACCCATTTGCTTATAAACCAGATTAATTTTTCCTTTGGAACTTCATGGCAAAATTGGAGGTAGAAATAGGCAGGTTTAAGCTGATAAGGGCTCCAAAGGCTTTTCCTCCTGCTCTGCCATAAAACCATAAGCAAGGGTTTTGTTGATGGGTCTCCAAGAATGAATTATCCCAATAGAATTCAGTTCCTATTGAAGATAATGTAAGAATTCAACATTTTCCTTTTTTCATCAGGAAATACCTTGGTGTTTTTGGCTTTGTTAAACATTTCAGTAGGAGCTTGAATTGGAGAAAACCAAATCCTGCTCTGAATTCTTTAACTGATGCTTGGCCTACCCAATGAGAAGTATGAAACCAAAACCTATTGTAGAATGGGCTGGGAAAATACCATTTTGTGTGTTCTTAAACACCAATATTATCAGTTTATTAGCACAGGGCTTGTTTTCTGGGCTGTGTGTGCAATTTACAACTAATTGCAGGGAAGAATTTGCAAAATACAAGAGTTGTGAGCATTTTTCATGCCAAAATCTTGAGCGAAGGCCAAGAACCTTCACCAGCCTTTGTAAACTGACCCAGAAAGAGAAATGAGACAAACAGGATCTGTAAACAAGGATCACGTGCCCTTCACAAATCCATTTTGGAAGGATGGTTGCCTAGGGAAACAGGAAATGGGGAATTATACAACAAACAAAAAGGATTGCCAAACAAATTTGCTGACCTTTTTTTTCGGGGAATTATGATGAAAACTTCTGGAATCCTCAGGATTTCACCACATTTCTACAGCTGAAGGTGGAACAGAAGAAGAGCTTGGTAATGATACCACAACTATTTAGAAAGCACAAAAAAAACCCCACTTCCTTGACACCTTTGTCCTAAAGGAAGCAGTGCGAGGCTGGGAGCCATGGAATCTTGAGTACATCTGGAATTTTGTTGAGTTTCCCAGCTTTTCCAGTTGAGCTTTTTGGAATCAATGCTTCCTTTTATGGATGAGACAACAAAAAAGTCACTCCATTTATGTCTGCATGGGTCATCTAGCTGTATCTTTAGGCAGTTTAATCCTCGTTTCTGAGCTCGTAGTCTCCCAGACAGCTCTATCTGTACCTTTCCCAAGGAAATAGCAACTTTCAGAAGGGTTTTGTGCTTCCCCAAGTCCCAAATAGAAAAGGAAAAAGAGAGTTTTCACTGCGTTTGTCATTACCAAGGAAGAAGTCAGTCTCTGGGTGATGTTTCTTCCTCTCATTCTTCTCACCCTTCTTTAGAGGGCATGTGCAGGAAGGAAGTTGGTTGTGTGGTGACTTCTACATGCCTCTGAGCATGGTTTGGATTGGAAGAGACCTTAAAGCTCCTCCAGCTCCAACCCCTGCCATGGGCAGGGACACCTTCCACTAGAGTAGGTTGCTCTAAGCCCCTGTGTCCAAGCTGGCGTTGAACACTGCCAGGGATGGGGCAGCCACAGCTTCTCTGGGCAACCCATTCCACTTCCTCACCACCCGTCCAGTATTCTCCATTGTTTTCAGTGTGTGACTTCTCTTTTCTTTTGTCAGTTCCAATGACAGGTTTCACTCAAAGGGCTACCATTGATCCCGAGCTGAATGAAATCCATGTCTTGTCAGGGCTCAGTAAAGACAAGGAGAAGCGGGAAGAGAATGTAAGGAATTCCTTCTGGATTTACGACATTGTGAGGAACAGCTGGTAAGTTGATGAAAGAGGTGCTATTTCTAACATCTGCATTGACTTCCTTTAGAACTCAGTCCTGTCTCCCAGGTAACTCTACAACCTCCTAGAACCATGGAATGGTAATGTTGAAGACAACCAAGTTCCCTTGAGGCACCCTGTTTTCCCCATAGTATTTAAGGACACCATGGCAGTAAGCCACATGAGGGAGAGGCATCATCGTATGAACTTCTTTATTGGAGGCAGGTGGAGGGATGAGGGGAAGTGAGCCATTATAAGGAGTTTTTCCTATAGGAAGTGTTCAAAGTCAGGATTCACCATCAGTGCAGCAAATGCAGTGAAATGTAAGTTAACAGCAGCTCACAGGGTACGAGTTAGTACAGACTAAGGAAACTGCTGCATGAACAGTGGTGGTGAAGTCTTCATGCAAGATCTGCCAGCTCTTTCCATGCTGCATGAGGGTACTTCAGGTAGCTGCTAGATCAAATAGTCTGAGAAAACATTTCCTTATCTATTTGCTATATTGTATTTGGCAGCTGGTTCCCATTGTCCCTTTCCAGAGCTGGCAGTCTTTTTGCATTCAAGGACTCACTTAACGTGGGGCCAGTCACTTTGAAAGGTGTGAATGTTGCTTATAAGAATGGGTTTTCAGTTACAACTTCATTCTGCTTAGATCAGTGCTGGAAGTGGTAGCTTTGCTCCAGTCTGTGGCACATACTGCTGTGTCCAAGGTTCTATTCTCCATAATGAAAAATACTGCATGCTGACAATTCTGCTGGCAAATCATGCAACATCTAAAGATACCTCCAAAACTCATGACATAGAGTTTTCTAGAATTGTTTTCCTGTTTGGCTTGTGATTGAGGACTGTGTTCAGCCAAGGTGACCTGCTCTACATGTAAGATGGGGGTTTTTTGTAATGCTAAGAATAGGGATGGGATGATAGAGGACAGTATATAGAGAAGTAAGAAAATCTTTGGTACTACATGCCAGGCAATTCAAATTGACATCATTTGTACCTTAAAGCCTTTCAGTAACTTTTTCTACTTCCTGTAGGTACTACTAATCATTTCTTCCTGCCTTGTATTTTAGGTCTTGTGTCTATAAGAATGACCAAGCAGCAAAAGAGAATCCAGGTAAAAGCCTTCAGGAAGAGGAGCCCTGCCCAAGGTTTGCCCATCAACTGGTGTACGATGAGTTGCACAAGGTATGAGGGTCCATATACATATGGAGTGGTTTTAAGTCTTACTACTCTGAAAGTGTAGTTTCTTCTTCAAAGATGGTACAAAATGAGTATAGCTGTTTGTCTAGTGTTCATGTGGTGGGTAACTTTCATTTAACTTATTCTGATCTTTTGAAATAAGGTGCTAAGCTACTTGTAGTGTCAATGTGAAGTAGACATGATAGGTCCCAGGTGAAATAAAAATGCAGGCAGTGGGATATACTAAACCTTTATGAAGCTGTCAAGCAGCTGGCTCCTGTCTGTTCTCAACTGAAGCTTCCTTCGTTAATCTCAGGGACTTAATGTCACAACCTGTTGGTGACTAAAAGGTCATGAGAAAGTGTGTTTGAAGGAACAAATCACTGCTAAGAATCTGCTCTACCAGAGGTGCCTTCCTTTGCTCTGCATGTCAGTAGCAGCTGTCATTCTTTAGCACTATTTGACTTGGACACCTCCATGCTTAGATCAGTGTGAAATGGTTTAGAGTGTACATGAGTGCTCAGTAAACTTAGGGCTTTGTGCATGTTAACCAATAAAGCACAAACCCCATGAATTAGGTACCATAATTTCATTAACCTCTGAATTTAAATTACCGTGACACACTTAATCTTTCACAGATATTTTGCAATTAAAGTAAACTTCTAAACCTCCTTTATAGTCTGAAGCAGTCTGAACTGAAGAAAAGTATACTGTAGTCTTATCATTCCATGGGATGTTCATCAAATTTGGGAAACCCAACTAGCCCAAAGGTTTAGGGATAAAGGAGCTTTTAAGGAGGAATAGGTGCAACTTCTGTACAGAGAACTTGTGTCATCTTCACAGACATTAATGATAGACTGTTAATACTGTTCTGCCTTTAATGGCTTATTTCTAAGTGTGAGGATAGAATAGAATCAACAAAGTTGGAGAAGACCTTTAAGATCTTCAAGTCCAGCTGTTACCCCAGCACTGCCAAGTCCACCACTAAGGTACTATGAGATTGAAAGTAGTGTTTTACAAGTTACTGTGAAGGTTGCTAAGTCATGGCAGTTGCCCAGCTTTATCTGAAGAGCTGTTTGATGTGCTTGTTTTGAAGAGCCTTATTTTTAGAAACCTCTGTTCAAGTGACCTTTCTCAACTCCTCTGATATAAATAAGGAGAGCCTACATCAGTGGGATGCAGAATACATTGTTTGGAGTGATTATTTTTAAAGCTGTGGAGAAAGGTAGCCTCTTGGGCTTCTTGAACCCCTCGCTATTTGAAGACCCATGTGACATGTTTAATATCCACAGTTCAGGGTCTGGAATACCAAATGATGTGAAGGCAAAAAAGGTGAAGAAATAAACAGTCCTTTTTTAAGACTTCCACTTGAGATGTGCCTCTCTCCCTAAGTCTAGCCTTGCATTTCAAAGGTGGTGTGTCCTGAAATGACTGGGATGGTGTTAGCCTGCTTCATTTGAGTTACTGTGAAGAGATGATGAATTTTGGGTACAGGTGTATTTAATATGTCCATGATTGGCATCTCAGGATTGCTGGAATGTTTTCTGAAGGCAGTCACAGCAATGGTAGTGATTTGTGATTCTAGATAAGATTGGTGTTTTCATCCTCAGTTGTTCTTAACATTACACTTTGGCTTCTTGGTTTACTCTTTATTCAGTTAGGCCCTTCCTTTGTGCCCAGGTAATGTATTTAGCACCTTGCAGCAAGGCTGCTGCATTGAGATGAGACCAATCTGCCTTTCCAGAGACCATGGAAATACTCTCTTCAAGTCAAATTAAGGCTCTGTAGAGTTTATGGGACACTTGGGGACACAGGCCTGTTGGTCATCTCCCAACGTCATGTCACTTCACTTTGAGCATCTCTAGTACTTCCCACTCACTTTATCAGTGACCCTTGTCTTTGGGGAAGATAATGGTCTTCACTGCTCGTCTGAACTGTGGAGCTTTAGTAGTGCAGCTTCACCAGCAGTGCTCTGATGGGAGCCAGAGCATTAGTCTACAAAGTCTCTTTTATCTGGGTCTTCCTAACAAGCATGAAAATGTTTCTTCTTCAAAGATGATGTGTGATTGCTGGAGCCACCTCACACTATATGGGTGTAATCTGCTTATCCCAAAATTAAAGAAAGGCTTAATACAGGCTCCTTAATTTAGCCTCTTTCATGTCAGTGAGAAATTGGGATCTTCGAGGACAAGATTGGAGAAGAGGTTGTTAATCCATCAGTTTGAGTATTGTTTGCATCAGGTATTTTGAATGGGGCAAAAAGAGTTGGCTCAGATCCTTCTTTTCTGCCCATATCTTATGTGCTCGAGGATTTATCATGCTTGTAGGTTTTTCCTAAAGAAAGAGATGGAATGGTCTGTGGATGCCTGTTTGTAAATACCTCAGGAATCTGCTGGAGGGAGGTTTTAGCAGTGCAGCTTTTTATTACCTTAAGATGTAAGCAGTTTAAGAGAAGTTTCTTCATCTCCTAGGGGACAAAGTAAGGCTAATAGTGAGATAGAACAGCTTGTCTGCAAGGCAGAGTTATCTCCCTCCAGAATAAACCTCTCCAAAGATGCTGACATAGTAAATAGCCTTTGATGTACACAAAGAGTCAACTTTTTGCTCTGCTTCTCGTTTGCTTAGGTTCATTACTTATTTGGAGGGAATCCTGGCAAGTCCTGCTCTCCAAAGATGAGATTAGATGACTTCTGGTCCCTGAAGCTCTGTCGACCTTCAAAGGAATACTTGCTAAGACACTGCAAATACCTCATAAGGAAGCACAGGTATAAGAACAAAAGGGGGGTTGCAATTTTCTTTTCCAAAATGTATGATTTTTTAAAGTTACTAAAACTTGAATGTCTTCTAAATGGCTTTGGGTAATCTCTCTTTGTTGGTTATATGATGGTCTGCAAGTTTCTAAATTCTTTTTAATTAAAACCCCACATTTAATAATAGGACAAGGAGGAATGGTTTTAAACTGAAAGAGGGGAGACTGAGATGAGCTCTTAGGCAGAAGCTCTTCCCTGTGAGGGTGCTGAGGCGCTGGCACAGGGTGCCCAGAGAAGCTGTGGCTGCCCCATCCCTGGCAGTGTTCAAGGCCAGGTTGGACACAGGGGCTTGGAGCAACCTGCTCTAGTGGAAGGTGTCCCTGCCCGGGGCAGGGGTTGGAGCTGGAGGAACTCTAAGGTCCCTTCAACCCAAACCAGTCTGTGATAATACAAAGCAGTAGGGCAGGGCTCAACTACAAGATGAACTTCATTCTGGTGTTACTATGTTATTCTAAAACTAGAAAAATCTGGGTATTGTGTGGGGAGTCATGGGGGAATTTTTAGATTCCCTTTTCACTCTGCTGCTCATCAACATGTGTTTTGGTGCTGTCACCTCCCAAGGAAATGGAATATGTTTCTGAAACACTGTGCTAGGAGATAGTAACAGCTCGCAAGGATGCTAATGAAGTCTGGGGGCTGGATGCCTTTGCACATCTGAGACTCAACCATGGTGAGGTCATCAGAGTTTCTCATTCAGAATCACTTGAAAGATCTCACTTATGCAGAATTCAGCTGCGCTATGACGCTTCCTGTACTGTGGCTGTTTCAGAGCTGCCTTATATTTGCTATTTAGGGCAACAGCTTTTTAAAATCAAGCTTATAGTGTTGCATTAGGCAAGAAACTGCAGCAGCAAGACAGCCTTTCAAGACCCAGCAAATGAGTTGAAGCTAGTAAATAGCACTTTCTACATTCTTGGTGAGAATACTTTGTTATCAGGTTTTGCCAAGTGTTGGAGGTTGGTTTTTGCTGATGGTATTTTACTTCTGAGACTGCAAGCAAATTGCTCTACCTAACTCACAATCACTGTGGCTTGATGAGGCCTTTTGCTGATTAGCCATGCAGTAGATGAGAATAGCTACAGGAATGAATGAACGCCTTGCCCAGTAATCTGGGAGGTTTATTAAACCCACATGTGGTTGTATGCACATGCAGCTGTACAGCCTCCAGAGACAGCTCTGGATGACTTAGTTATTACTTGCTTAAATTACACTGAAAGGAGATGTTGCTGCATGTTATCTGGAAGAAGTTTGGGGTTTATGCACCATGCTCCCTTTTACTGGGGTCCATAGGAGGGAGCTAAACACAACCAGCCAGGGGCTGATACGGTGGATGCTTTGATGGAGTTCATGTGCCTGGCAGGGCTGGACCTGAACTGCTGTGGAGTCACTTGGCTGCCCATTATCTGCATTCCCTCAAGCTCTAGGTGCCAGAACAGGTACTTGACTTGCAAATCCACTGTATCTGCTGGAGCCCTGTTTGGCCTATTAACTTGTTTAATACCAGTCAGCCATAGTAAAGAAGAGGAGTAGTGAGGTGTCAGGGAGTCCCCTTATTTAAGGTACTTCAGCTCCCTAGATCATGGTGATATCACCTAAGAAACTCTATGGGAATACTGGGAAGAAATCATGCTTAACTACCAGAATGTCATGTACATCAGGTAACAGACATAGTCTTTGTGCACTGCCTAAATGCACTTGCATCTTTAGATGATACCAAATTTGGGCTAGAAATGTCCACTACAGTATAAACAACCAAGTAAGATGACCCAAATGAAAACGTAACTTCTTACATTTTGACAAGCTGCACTCTCTTAAAGGTAACTGAAATATATTATGAATAAAATACCTTAAGTTCCTTTAAGGCGATTGGTACAAGACAGTTAAGTAACTGAGGATGTGTTTTTTAGGTTCTTCATCTCTGGAATTGTCTGAGCAGTTTTCCTGGAAAGGTTTAATGCTGTGTGTTGGTGATTCAGAGGGATGACAGTGTGATACTGCACTCAGTGGAGAGGTGATAGGAGGAAAACACGGATCATTTTAAACCTCATCCTTTCTAGGCTTATGCACCCACCTCAGTGCTGCAGGGAAGGAGCTCTGCTCACGGAGGATGCTGAGCCTGGAATCATTTTCTGAGGGCTCTATTAACTTCAGGGAATTCACAGGAGTTACAGTTTCTGTTCATTAAAAGAAAATGAGGAAACAAGCTGGTGGTGCATAGGATTTCCATGTACCTGTGCTTTTCCCTAAAGTGGGAATATTAAGGCCCAGTAGTCATTGAATCTGGGGGTTTTCACCCCCTCATCCCTTTTTCTCTTGTTTGGCAGAAGCAGGGAGCTATCTCCATCCCTGTACATGCAGTTACACAGTCAGGAAGTGCTCAAGGCTTGCTGTGTGTGAGCTGTGCTCCTCGCATGAGGTGCTACTCATGTTACTTTATTGGTGGAAAATAAACTGTACTAAATGTTTTATATTTATGTATTAAATCACAGAACCCCAGACTGGTTTGTGTTGGAAGGGACCTTAAAGCTCATCCAGTTCCAACCCCTGCCATGGGCAGGGACACCTTCCACTAGAGCAGGTTGCTCCAAGCCCCTGTGTCCAACCTGGCCTTGAACACTGCCAGGGATGGGGCAGCCACAGCTTCTCTGGGCACCCTGTGCCAGCGCCTCAGCACCAATGAAGAAGTTGCTGTACATACTCTTTGAATACTTTTAGTAAGAGTGTAATATTTTGCCCTTGTAACTCCCTTACACCTCCCCAAAAACCCCTCCTCTGTATTTCAGCCTGTCTGGAAAGCGTGTGCTCCAGCACATACAAGGCCAAGCTGCCATTAATGTTGTTTTGTGTGGAAATACTGGGCTGAAGGTTTTCTTAGATGGCTTTTGCTCTTTTTACACATAGTAGTAGTGCTGGAGGAAATGGCTGTGCTCAAGTTTTCTGTCTCCTCTTTTCAGGTTTGAAGAAAAAGCTCAGACTGACCCTCTTAGTGCACTGAAGTACCTGCAGAACGACTTATATGTAACTGTGGATCACTCGGACCCCGAGGAGACAAAAGAGGTAATGGTGAATGATCCCTGGCTTAGTTACATAGAAATGTAAACTCATGTGAGAGTTTTGAGCCTCTTGAACCTTGTTTGTTATTCAGTTTGGAAAAGCTCTACAGGTGCATGACACTTCGCTGTCAAAAAAGCTCTACAGGTGCATGACACTTCGCTGTATCATCTGTTTCTCTGCACTAAAGACCGTAGTGCTTTAGAAACAGTCACTTTAACAACTGCAGTTCCAGATAAAATAGGTTTTGTACTCAAAACAGTGAAGAACTAGGCCTTTGCTAAAGACCATTTAGACCATAAAGACTGCGTTAGAAACAGTCACTTTAACAACTGCAGTTCCAGATAAAATAGGTTTTGTACTCAAAACAGTGAAGAACTAGGCCTTTGTTTTAATTCCAGGGTACTGATGTGTATTTTGGGAGCTTTAGTTGAAATGTAAACTCTGAAATGTCACGTTGGTTGTGTGGTAGAAAGTGAATAAGAAGCTCACACTGCCTTTTGGCTTGTCAATATTAAATAGCTCTGGGGGAGTGAAAGAGGCTTTTTCCCTAGTTGGTAAGTATTTCTGGAAGCAGATTGTGTATATGCATTGCTTTCTACCCTTAAAATCTTGTTTCCTCTGCCTTTTTGACTAGTATCCAGTAGGCATGTTCGTTTATTCATTCCAGGAATTTGTTCCCATTTCCTGTTTTGATTCAGTGACCACAGTACGTGTCACTTTACAAAAGGGATTAAAGAAAGAGTGAGAAGTGTCAGATAAGGTGGTGGACTGGACTCTGCCATTAATTTCCTCGTGGAACGGGGGGCAGCTAGCTAGATGCCCAAGTGTTCAGCTCCTGATGGGTAGAGGAGACCATGGTTCTCCTCTTGTGTTAATGACTTGGGAAGTGATTCCACAGCTCCTCCTATAAAGCTGTGATAGGAGAATGGGGGCTGTTACTCCATGCTGAGTCTCTGGATTAAATCACTTAGTCTGATGGTTCTAACTTGTTACTTTACATAAAGGAATGATTGTTATCCAGACACTAAAATCTTTTGGGGGAAAATATGCATCTTGCATATGCACAATATAGAGTTGTAGGGTTGGAAGAATTAAGAATTAAGAATTCCAGGATCTTGGAACTGATGCTGACACTTGTCATAAACTCTAGTTAGCCTTTATAGTCATCTAATCCAATGAAACATCTAGGTGCTGTGCCTGTAAGTTCTCTGTTAGATGGCTTCTCAGTTAAATTCATAGAATCCCAGACTAGTTTGTGTTGGAAAGGACCTTAAAGCTCATCCAGCTCCAACCCCCTGCCACGGGCTGGGACACCTTCCACTAGAGCAGATTGCTCCAAGCCCCTGTGTCCAACCTGGCCTTGAACACTGCCAGGGATGGGGCAGCCACAGCTTCTCTGGGCAATGTGTAGTTTCACATCCTGTCTAGACCTTTCTAGCATAAAGAAGGTAAAAACCAGATAATCCTGCATTTCTTCAGGTAGGAAAGGAGGTACTTTTTTTATCGTTCCTAGGCAGCATGGGGATCTCAGTTCAATTATGCCCCATCTCCCCAGTGCTGTAGCACTTTCCTCTTTATAATTGAACTTGTAATAACCTCTAACATAAAATAACCATTCTGCTGCTCTCTTCATCCCTTCTTCTCCCTCCCACCCTCTCTTAAGGCCATGTCCTGTGTCCTTTGATCTTCCATGTTTTCTCTATGTGTGCCGGTAGCCTATAAAAACCACATCTCTCTTTGGCCAGTTACTCCTACAGAGACCTTGTGTCTCATGGCTTGCTGTGCCTTTTTGTTGCCTGAACAGAAAACATTTGGGGTGTGATCAGAAAGCTCCTCTCCTTTTAGATCATGCTGCCTGCTGTCACCAGCAGACCAAAGGCGCTGCCATAAAGGCTCCACGTTGTGCACATCTGGCACAGGAAATCCTTTTAATACTCTACATTTGATTTTCCCAATTCAGTGTGTAGCATTTAACCTGGCCACCTTGTAAGAATGAAGAATTTACCTGACTGCATGGGCTCCTCTGAGATTTGAGGGAAAACTAGTAGCTTTCTCATACAATGAAGAAATAGAATGTCTATTACCCCTTTTCATAGAGCATACTAGTGTTGTGCACATTAATGATGCAGCCTATGAGCCTAGGTAGCTCAATCCAGCTGAGGGAATATATTGGGAATCATTTCTCTGCAGGCCTAATGCCTGATCCAGACAAAATTCAATGGCTTCTGTCTGGTCTGACTGATCAACATGTAGCATCAGCAGAACTCAAGCTCCCATTCCAGTGGCCTCCTAAAACCATGTCACAATTTCTGGGAGGTTTTTTTGTGTCTTGTTTTTCTTGCTCGTTTTTTAATTACATTTTTAATTGTGCTGTTCCAAGAGCTTTAACTTCCCAAGCTTTTTACACTGGAGCAGATCTGGCAGGGATATGGCACAGAGCCAGCCTCTGCACTGGTACCGACTGGGTGTATTTCCAGTTGACGTCAATTTACCTTCCGGTTATCACATTGAGTTGGCTTTTTGCTCTGGCATCACGTCTTCAAATAGCTCTTGTGCTTTCCAAAGGACTGACGCAGGCTTTTTGGATTCCATATCAAATTTCAAGCACCACTTTGGTTGTGAACCTCAGCCCAGACCCCTACAGACACTGCCTTTAGTTGTAGCTGAGATCATCTTAATATCAAAGGCTGTGTATCTTATTGGCTTGCTCTGGGCTGGCTACAGCCACTGAATGGTGTAAGGCTTCTTAGCATGGTAGTTCTTAAGGGAATAGGTTTCTGCCTGTTGTTTTCCCTCCCTCTAGGCCAACTGTTAAACTTGAGAAGGACCAAGTTGAATAGGTTTATCCCCAATTTCATGCTATTGTGCTCTTGGAGGCTGGTCTGTATGGTTTCATGTTTTATGGACCGATATATGGGTAGTCTTATATTACAAGCAGAGTTTCACTTTGAGGTAAGGCTGACTTGCTTTATAAGAGAATTTATTCTAACTTAGTTAGGCAAGTCCCTTCAGCTGTTTTGAGTTGGATGCCAAAGAAAACAAACAGACTGTTCTTGAAGCTTGCTTTGGTGTTAGTAACCAATTTTGTTTAAAGTAGTGCGAATGATTGATAGTAGGAACATACTCCCAGATTTTTCTTCTTTTGTTATGAATTTTAGGTATGTTAATAGGATTATAGTTTTATTTCTGGGGGGTTTATTATTCCAAATGAAGGAGATGACTGCAAGTAACGGGTATCATGCAGTACATGTTTTAGTAGCCATAGGCTCCATGCCAGCTCTGCCTCTGCTGTTGCCCATAAATGCAGACCCATTTCTTTTTAACTGTGATACTGCTTGAAATCATAGAACCATAAAGGGTTTGTGTTGGAATGGACCGTAAAGCTCATCCAGTCCCAACCCCTGCCATGGGCAGGGACACCTTCCACTAGAGCAGGTTGCTCCAAGCCCCTGTGTCCAACCTGGCCTTGAACACTGCCAGGGATGGGGCATTCGCAACGTCCTTGAGCAGTTTGTTCCAGTGCCTCTGAGGCTATAGATGATGTTCCTTGAGCACTGGCATCATCATACCCAGAACCTTGCTGCTGCTTAATGGGCTATAGAAGGAATCAGGATAATACAAAAAATGGCCAGTGCTGTCCATGTGAAGGAGAGCAACATGATCTTGTACGTTGAGATTCAGCTCCTGGTGAAGCTCAGTCCCATGACTGCTGTAAAACGGATACAAAGTGCAAGCAAAACTTGCAGTATGTTTTTCTTGGAACGTGGTAGGAGAAGGAGCAAGGACCTGGAGGCCAATCTGGGGCCTGACTAGCCTGTAGACTGAGGCTGGAGGCCCCTATTCAAGGCTGCTTCATACTTTCCATTCTTAAGACGTTGTCTCTAATAAATTTGCCAGATAAAGCCAGCGGGGCCCAAAAGTATTGTTTGAGTCTGCATTAGACTGATATTTCTGGGAAAATTGAAACCCAAATGGGAAAAATAGTTCTAGGAAGGAGCTAAGAAAAGCATGCTTTTCCTTGTCATGTCCTGCTGTGATTCTTTGTAAAGCTTCAGAGGCCGAGTGCTGCAGGAGGAGAGGTTTTGGAGCCAAGGAGCCTTTTCCGAACAGCATTCAGCCCTCCCAACTTCAGCGAGGGATGGCTTCCTCCTCAAAGGATTTAAGCCTCTCTTTGCTGCTTTGAGCTATGCTACAAGAGAACTGGTCAGAGCTGAGGAACTGTTTTCTGCTGTGATCTGATCACTTGCTGTATATTACGGAGGAGGAATTATGTCTGATTCATCCAACCTGCCGGGTATCCCAAGATGGTGTTACTCATCCCCTTTAACCATTTCATTTGGCAGAGGCATGCAGCAAATATACCACAACTTTTACATGGCAGAGTTGCTTTCTTGCTGTAGGTAGGAACAGTTTAAAGTACACACAGCTGGTAAAAGAACAGTTTTGTTGGGAGCTCAGAGGCCATGATTTGGAAAATGCCAGAATTAGTATTACTTGTATAGTCTTAGTCTGGCCTCTCTCTGAATGCGGTTGATTATCTTCATTACATTAGCCAGATATCTATAACTAATAGATATATAACTAATATAAGCTTATATTAGTTACCCAGATAGATGTATCTGTAAGGAACCCCTGCCTCAGTTCAGAAGGTGGATTTGGGCTCTGAGGGAGAAGTTAATTGTATAACAAAAGGGACCTGTTGTCTTTTGAACAGAGGCTTAATTTGGAATGGATGAAGCCAGCGAGGCAGAGGGATTGTCAGCAGAAAATGGGTGGTGGTGTGGTCAGAGCACTTGAATGCTTCTGCTGGATAATTGAGTTCTGGTCTTGCCTCTGTAGCAGAGTTGCTGTGTGACGTTGAGCAAATGCTTTTTCCTAGATGGTCATTAATTAGATCTTTCAGTCTGGCGCCTGATGGGAGAGATCCGAGGTGTGATTTGCTTGAGAGCTTTGCTCTTGTGGCTGCAAGTGAATTCAGGAGCTGTTGCATAATACTGTGTATGTTGAGAAATCGGATTCTGGCTGTTTCAACTAGGGGGCCCAAAATGAATCAGAATTTGAAGGGCTGTCTGTTGTGATAACAATTAATGCAATGGAAAACCTGATGAAGAAATTAATTCCTTCTTTAGAGCAGAGCTTGAACTTCGTGGGAAAAAGTACAGCGTTGTATATATGCTGTGAACAGTGTGTAGGAAACCTGGTTTTGAGGAAGCAGGAGCCATCCCATGTGTGGGGAAAAGAGCAGGGGTCCTGTGGGAGAACATGATGGGGTTACTTAGCATTGTAATGCAAATGCAGAGTGAACCAGCTGAGGCTCAGCACTGTCCATAACTGATGTCCTTTACTTAGGTGCTTGGCTTCTCTGTCAGAAAGAGCTTTTTAAATGTGAGGTGATGCATAAAATATAACTTCAGAACAAAGAAAACAACAAACCTCAAGGTTAACTGAAGTGCAGTGTCATCAGTGAAGGAGGAGACTGGATATTCCTTCCCCACACAGCTGGAAAGAAACTGGTAGCCGTGAAAATCCATCATGTGTGATGCAGATGAGGCTGGAATACTTGGCAAAGTCTTTTAGAGGGATTTTTGGTCTCAGTTCAGTGAGTTACTAACTGGATCCTGCTTATATAGTCTCTTATATAGCCTCAAGCATGGCTTGCATTCACTTCACAGCAGGATGGCTGCCTCGTTGCTGGTTAGGCTGGTGGTGAAATACACATGTAGCATTGCAATCCCCTTGGATTGCATATAACCAGACCTCCCCCTCAAGAGGGTACTTAATCACCCTCTTCCCATGTTGTGCAGTTTGTCAATCCTTTATCTTTCTAACCTCTTCTTAAATACCTCCAGTGCTACCTGCATGTTGTAGCCTCCCCAGAAGATGCAAACTTATTCTGGTCCTTATTTCAGACTGGCTTTTCTCTTGGTGTCACGTTGAAACTGATCTTGCTGAAGTGGCCTCGTGGCTTCTTGCATTTAGGTGTAGATTTACCTTCTTGTAGCAACCTTCTGCATTTGTGACTCTTGCAGTTTTATCCTTGGATGCTCTGTGGTGGCTCTGCAACCCTGACTCCTTTGAGCTTTCTTTATAGAGCTTGATTTTTCAGACCACTTGGCTTTTTTCCTAGTGCTTTCTTTATATGTTGCTAGTTGGTAGGGGGCATCCGAAAGTGGTTGCCTTGTAGTACATGCGACTTACGAGCCTTGATAACAGAAGGAGTACTTGATTTATGTGAAGATCCCACTCCTTTTCTTGCATTTTCTATGCATTTGTCATTGTTGCAATAGGATGAAACTGATCTGTTTTAACTCCTAAATGTGTTTTCACAGAGCCTGTGCACCCCAACCTGTTTCGTATAGCTGATTTTTCCTGTTTAGGGTGATTTGCACTTGGCCCGAGTGAACAGCACCTTGAGCCATCATTTAACTTTGGACAAGGGCCTGTAGGGACAGAACAAGGGGAATGGCTTTAACCTGCCAGAGGGGAGACTGAGATGAGCTCTTGGGCAGAAGCTCTTCCCTGTGAGGGTGCTGAGGTGCTGGCACAGGGTGCCCAGAGGAGCTGTGGCTGCCCCATCCCTGGCAGTGTTCAAGGCCAGGTTGGACACAGGGCTTGGAGCAACCTGCTCTAGTAGAAGGTGTCCCTGCCCGTGGCAGGGGTTGGAGCTGGATGAGCTTTAAGGTCCCTTCAACACAAACCAGGCTGGGATTCTGTGAGCTGGATGAAATGAAGCAGCAGTCTGCAGCCTGTCTGCTGCCATGCTCTCAGTCTGAGCATGGTGTGAGGTCTGTGGACTGAAGTGGTCGTGTCCTGTTCTGTCCAGGAGGTTCTCGCTGAAAGCCCAGAGTGGTGCTGACCCTGGGGCACAACTGAACCACTTGCAATTCACGGCTCCGTTTGGATGTCAAACCAGAGGTGTCTACCCACAGGAAACCTGTTTGACTTACTTGCTGTTCCCTGTTAGCTTAATCTAGATAAGGCCATGATAATTTGCCTTAAATACCATATAAAAGCATCAGAAGTCCTATGAAAGTCAAAATGTCTATTGCCAGGTCCCATCCGTAGGGCCTGCTGCCTTGTGCAAGACATCAGTTTGATGTGATACAAGTTGTTGTTGCCAAATCCACATTGGCTGCTACTCATCACCTTCCTCACTCCTACATGCCTGCAAATTGTCTGTGTTCCCGTTTTGTCTTGAAATTGAAATTAAACTGATGGATGTGTAATTCCTGGCTGTCCTTCACACTCCTTCCCTGAACATATTTGCTTCTCTTCTGTTTTCTTTTCCCCCCTCTTCTTTCCTTCGGGCTGTGTGCTGGGAAGACACAGAGACGAGGCAAAAGATTATAAGCCTTTAAGGAATCTTCTGATTCGTGAAGGAAACATGACAAAGCACAAAGCTTTGCCTCTGTGTGGGTAACTGAAAACAGCAGCCACAGGCAGAGGAAGATTCTGTGTTCACTGTCTATCAGTAAGACGTGAAAGGAGAATCAAACCGTGAATGTGTTACTTAAACTGTTTTTATTCCTGATTCTGATGTTCTCAATAAAAGGTTTTATTTTGATGGAGGGTTTTTTTTTTAGTTAAAAAGACATCAGGATACGAGTTCTCTGGCAGTTCAGAAAGATTGTGGCCATACAAAGCTTTCTTTGTGTTCAAGACGTTGATGCTGTGCTCTAGCAGTTACCCTGTTCTCATGTCATCTAATCCTTGCTAAGACCGTACCACGTTCATCCCTGGTTGTGGCAAGAGGCTCTACCTTACTTCTGCTCTGATATCTGCCAGAGAGGCAAAAAAGAGTATATGAAAAATCAGCTTTTAGGGCTCCCAGTCAAGTACCTTTCATTGCATCAACACTGCTCTAATTCTAGGAAAAACCATCCAGCTTGCTCTGCCAAGGTGACAAATTGTGTTGCTCGTATGAAAGTTGCTGCTGTTACTCACATAAATGTCACAGTAGCTCCAAGGAGTGTGCAAAGAGAGCTCAGCAACTCCAAACCCACTCTTGACTTCTATGAATCTCTGAGTTTTTCTCCTGTGTGCTGTTAATAACACTTTTCTCTTTCTTTGTCCCTCCTCTCCTGCAGTTCCAGCTTCTTGCCTCAGCATTATTTAAGTCTGGCTCGGATTTCACCACTCTCGGTGAGTATTGTGTATCAGAAGAATTAGACTATGTTCCCTCTGATAATTACTGTTAGTTTCTACTCGTTTTCATATCAAATGTTACAGTTCACATGAGCCCTTTTTGGTTTGAAAATACAAAATGCCACTGCACAGACATTACAGAGATTATTCATAATGACCAGTGCCCAATGCCCCTCTGCCACCAGTGGTTTTAAACCTGTGCCTCCCGGGATTGTTTTGTGTCTCTCATTATATCTGGTGCTTCACCCAAATAAACAGCAGCTTTGGGCAGAATAAAGGACCTCCTGTCTTGTCACTTGGGAATGTCACAGTGTGGCTACAGCTCTGTTTGCTGTGATAACTGCAATTCCTGGAGCAGTTTGGTTCGTTCTGTGCTTTGCAGAACTAGTTCTGTGGGCAGAATGTCAAGAGTGAAGAGAACAGTGGTGTGGAGGGCTGGAAACAGGAGCTCTGAGCCAAAGCCACAATTTGTTTCACTCTTCTGTCCAGTTAACTCTTCTAAACAGTCAAGAAATTAATCCTGGGCAAGCTATAGGAAAGCTATAAGCATAATTTACATCTTGTAATGTGTTGTCCTCAAGTCACCAGGCTCTTGCTAAGGTGCATGGATGACTTTAGTTTTTAAGGAACCAGCAATTCCCAATCTAAGCAATTGAGGGAAGGAAAAAGCCCACTGCACTATGAGCCCAGCTGGATGAGGAAGCTCAGCTGAGCTTGTGTGATTTGGAAGATGTACCTAGTTGATGAATTTTTGGAGGAAGAACACCCAGGTTTCAGAAGGTTGTTTTTTCCCTTGGTTTTAAGTGTTCCGAAAGATGGATTAGTTCTTGACACAACACTTTGTTCAGAGGTTGGCTCTACAGATGCATACATCAAGTGGTGCTTCTAAAATAAAACAAAAAAACCCCAAGCCCTCCTTCATTTGATTAACTTGGTTGACTTTGATTAACTGAAGAGTGAGTTCACTGAATTAATAAGCATTCCTTGGAGATCCCACTGATGGAAGTCATACAAAGCAGAGGAAATCGTTGTATAGCCCGCGCTATTGTTCTCGCTGTTGATGGTTTAAGTATGAGGATTTGGATAAACAACGCTCCAGACTAAACCCCCCCCTGCTGGGAGGCAGCGCTTCACAAAAGGGGTTTGCAGAGCACCTTTGTTCCAAGATGCAGCTCTGACTTGGGGCTCCTACCATCAGAAAAGCTTGTCTCAAGAAGAACTGCAAGCAAGACGAGTACTGGTTCTGGGTGAGACAGTCGTGGAGATAATGAGGAGAGCCTGAGGACAGAAGAAATGAGGCACCCAATAAAAATAGCTGCAGAGATTTTGTTTTCTGGGACATCAGAGCAGTCTCCTGAGGATTCTTGCTTCCTGCAGTTCTTCAGGGCTGTCAATGAGCTTGACAGCTGTTTGCTTATTACTTTTTATGTAGTTTGATTGCAGCCTTGGCTTGGGGTGGCGTGGTCTGTGTGTGTCTGTGCACATAGTAGTAGGACAGAGAACTAGGAGTAGAGGTAGAAGCAGCAGACAGGTTGAAGGAGGTGATCCTGCCCCTCTACTCTGCTTTTGTGAGACCCCACTCACAGCACTGTGTACAGTTCTGGTGTCCTCAACATAAGAAGGACCTGGAGCTCTTGGAGCAAGTCCAGAGGAGGCCACGAGGATGATCAGGGGCTGGAGCAGCTCCCGTATGGAGACAGGCTGAGAACATTGGGGCTGTTCAGCCTGGAGAAGAGAAGCTGCGTGGAGACCTCAGAGCAGCTTCCAGTGTGTGAAGGGGGCTCTAAGGATGCTGGAGAGGGACCTTCATCAGGCACTGTAGTGATAGGACATGGGGTGATGGGTTCAAACTGAAACAGGGGAAGTTTAATGGGTTTGAGATAAGGAAGAAGTTCTTCCCTGTGAGGGTGCTGAGGCGCTGGCACAGGTTGACCAGAGAAGCTGTGGCTGCCCCATCCCTGGCAGTGTTCAAAGCCAGGTTGGACACAGGGGCTTGGAGCAACCTACTCTAGTGGAAGGTGTCCTTGCCCATGGCAGGAGGTTGGAACTGAATGATCATAAGGTCCTTTCCAATCCAAACCATTCTATGAATCTATGAACATCTGTCCAAAATAGGAAACCGGCTTATTCCTCAGTTAAAACAGAGGGTTAAAAGCAGTGAGCACTGGCTTAATTTCCCCTTTTCTTCCTCCCCCAGGATTCTCAGATGTTGACCACACGTACGCGCAGAGAACTCAGCTCTTTGACACATTAGTCAACTTCTTTCCAGACAACATGACCCCTCCTAAAGGCAACCTGGTGGACCTCATCACGCTGTAACGGAGCAATCACTGGACATATGGAAGAGGGGAAAAGCATCCATTTTCAGTATTTTCATTTTTTTACTGCATTGATTGACTGCTGGGATGAAGTAATATAGTAACCCCTAGGTGTTTGCAAGGGGTTTTATACTTGTATGGTGAATCCCTGAAGCTTTTCCCTTGGAGTAGGTTAATAAAATGCAACTGACGTACTTCTGACTAAATATATATATTTTTTCTGACTTTGGATTTTGAGTTAGCAAATGGAAGATGAAAAGGTTTTGGGGGGGGAAAGGATAAAAAATAAAACCCAATCATGCAATGATTGCCTATAGGAGAAAATTGAGATTTGTGGGTTGTCTGGAATTAATGATGATGGGTTTTATTTGGGGGTTTGCGAAGAAGGGGGAAAGGTTGTTCTTTGCTCATTTGTAGCTAGTCATGATATATTGCTTTATCCTACAACTCCATCCTCAGCAGCTGAATAACTTGGAGGCAGGACACTGGCACGTGTTGAGGTGATAGTGATGTTGTGTCTTGAGTCTTGTATTGCAGTGTGTCTGTGAAGGGGAGCACGTGTTACAACTTACCTGTCCCCTCGTCCCAGAATCAGGCTGAGTAGTGTCTAATTGCATCTGATACTCCATTTAAACCTGAATACCTGCCTGCCTATCTTCTGTTCTCTGGAGCTTCCACTTAAACCTGCCAGGCAAGTGGGAACCTCAGAGAAACCATGGGAAAACAGGAGTGCAGTGCTTATCTGCCCCTTTGCAGGGATCATTCTGGGTTTTTTGCTGTGCTCTTCCTATGGAATCCATGCAGGTCCTGGCAGGACTGGGTCTTCCACCACACGCATCCCAACCTCTGCAACCTGACTCTGGGTTGGGTGTAGGATATCTGAAGCAGATTGTCTTCGTTTACATGCACCTATGCTTCTGTGTGCAGTGTTTGTCGATGTGTAAATGTACAGAGGATTGCTCCCAACAGCTTGGCTGCTCCCTCTGCAGTGCAGCTCATTCACTTCTAAATGCATTTTAGACCTAGAGCTGAATGTAAGGGAGGCCTTTTTAGCATACATCTCTCTGAAAGCAAGCCGATGCATATGTATAGAATATATATTCTTCCTTGCTGAAAGCCTTCTTTATAAACAAGGTAAGGGCTTGGTGCTGCTCTGTCAAGTGGAATGAAGGATGCCCATACCCAGCAGCAGAATCTTTTTGCATTTGCTGTCAGTGCAAACTGGCAGATGTAAATATTGATATGAGACTGCAAAGCTTTATGTCCAGAGATGTTCATGTCAGTGGGGTTTCGTTGCTGCACCCACTGTGGCTACACACCTCCTGTTAAACTTGGTGGAAGTCTTGTGCGTGCAAAGATGATTTGGACTCTTGAAATAAAAGAGTTAGTGAAGTGTCTTTTTCAGAGCTCGAGTGTCTGCTTGCTTTGATTGCATTGTATTGCCTCTTGGTCATGTCCTTTGTGTGACTTTTGTAGTCCTGGTACGTGAGAAATAAATTTATAACCTCATATTAGTGTTTAATCACTTAGGAAGGAACAACATGTTGGAGGCTGGGCTTTGTTTTGTCTTCAGGGAGGACCATACGAATGCAGTGTTTTTAGGTAACCTGTAACTTGAGGAGACTGTTTGGACACTGTGTACCTCAGTGGATGGCAAATCAGATGTCTGGTGGGAGAATCCAGTCGGTACATAGTGCAGTGAAGGAAATCTGATGGAATTGTTTCTTTGAAACATTGCACTTTTGTTTGTTTTCCAGTGACATGGAAAGTTTTATGTCACTGCTGGGCTTTATGATGTGCTACTTTTGATGCTTTCTTAACTAAAGTAGAGCTTACGTGGTACGAATGGAGATGCTGGATATTCCAATCAAGGTGTTGTTTCCGTTGAGATTGAATTCAGCCCTCTTAATGCAACCAGCCAAAATGCTGCAGCCCTCTAGTGCTTCAAATGGTAGTGGTGTTGTGCTTCCTCATCACTTGATCTCATTCCCTGTGTGTTCTCCAGATGATGAATTGTGCTTTTGGTGACAGTTTTCTACTCAACCAAGCCCTTCATAAACTTCTATATGTACATCTTTGACTACATATGGGGCTGAACCCGAAAGATACAGCTAGACTGAGGAGGAGCCACAGCAAGCAGACAGTACTTAAGGAAAGCCAGAAGCTTTGTGGATGGTGGTGCTGGTGAGCACAGCATTGTGTCAGGTTTGATTAGTGTAACAGAAGTTCAATCAGGACTCATTGTCCTCTGCATCAGGGTGCATGTGAAGCCTGGCAGCTTATGTTCTTGTAGCACAGCATAAATGGATGATTGTGTGAGCGAGGTGAACATTGCTTCTGCAGGACTGACAACCCCAGCTAATGAGAGCACTTCAGGATGATCAGATACTGACCTACCTTTATCCTGAGCAGATTGATTTCAGCTCGCACGACTACAGTTTGTGGGTTACAGCTGGGCATTAACCAGCAGAAACTATTTGCTCGGCTTCAGTGTATTCGTGGAGCAGCAGAGGCACCCTGTGGCCAGAGAGGTTAATCCAGAGTGAAAGCTTCGTGGCTTTGTCAAGGGTCTTTCCTGCTTCTGTGTCCTTTAGGAGTCAAAATGAAATGATTACTCTGCATTGGTGTGTGCTGCACTACCTGCTTTAAAACCTAATTAAAACTTCGGAGCACTGAAGTATAAAGTTCCTTTCAAAACAAGCCAGTTATTGACAAGCAGCGGCAGGGAAGAGTTTGAATGTAATTACATGCAGATCTTTAAAGATGCTGGTGATGTTCCAGGAAAGCGTTGGATGTGATCAGGGCAGAATTACTGAAGTACAAACTGAAAAGAGAACCTGAAAATGTTGCACAGCCCACTGCATGCAGTGGTATAAATAGCCAAGCTCTGCGTGAGAGGTGTCTGAACCTCACCCTTACTGCTTGCAGGCTGGAGCAGAGACTGCTTTTTAGCTTAGACAAGACTATATTTGCCTCTACCTTATAATATAAGGTGACTGTGTATGGATTTAACACCTCATAATCTTTACACTCCAGTAGCTGATCTCTAAATTAAGTGTTAACTTGTAAATAAGGGTATTGCAAAAGAAAGGAGCAGGGAGGGGACTCATTTGTGGTGACTGGGGTCTTTAAAGCCAAAGTTACAAGGTTCTGGTATGGTTTTTAAAGCTATAGGAAGTCAGCGTGGGATAAACTTGATACAGGCAAGACTTTAGTCTTGATTTAGCTTTTGAGATCCATGAGTTTGGTTCTTCACTGACACTGGCCTTCAGCATAGCTGCCCTTAGAATATTTTTCAGTAGATCATCTCTTTGGAAAACTTTATTCTATATGCAAATATAGAATAACATCCTATATATGCAAAGTTATTAAGTAACACGTTTTCCCAGAGAAATAAAGTCCTTCTGATTAGTTTTTGGGTCTTTTGGATTATGCATAATCGAGTTCCTTAATGTTTGTCTTTTACAACCCCTCGTATAGTAGTCAGGAGGCAGAAGTCTCTTAAGAGTTCTCCCCAAGTGTCTTCTCCAAGCAAGTCCTGCTGTTGCACTGTGACCCAACACGTTTTCTGCAGGTGGCAGAAAGACCTACTTAGATGATGTTGTTAAAAATGAGGGGGTTATAGCCACCTTTTCGCCCTATTTTATTTTGAGGATGTCATTGATACTGATCCTGTGGAGGCAAAGTGGTTGTAGCTTTTATCTTCTGGCCCTTTTAAAGGTGTAACGTTTGTGACATGTTTATCCTTAAGCATCTCTTCCTTTTGCTGGGTATCATGAGGAAGGAGAACTTTGTCTTGGAAGAGTTTCGTTTGCCCTTTCCCTGGACAACATCTTGTATGTGTAGTTCAGTCATATCCAGATGTGCACACGAACATCTGGGATTTAGTTCTGTGTGCCCAGGATGGCTCTGTGTGCACAGGTACATGTTAGCTCCGGGGTCTGAACATTAATAGCAAAATGATACTCTCATTTTGGATCAGCAATCTGGGAAGACCTAGTTGGAAAGGCTTTTCTAAGGCATTTGCCTTGTGCAGTCACAACTTGAGTGAAATTAGGGAACTCTCCTAAAGAGCATCCTAAAGCTTCCCGTTATACAGCTTGTACCAGAGCAGGGATGCAGTGCCAGGCTTCAGTTAAACTGCTGCAACTTTCTGGTCACTCATGATAATAAAATGCCTGAAAATGTAATGCCTTAAGGAGTCAGTAAATGAACTGGAGCCACCTATTTGCAGGAGGGCAGGCTCTGTGCAGAGGGCTAGTGGGCAGGGATTGCGATAGCTTCATCTGTGTATTTAATCAGCAGCCGCAAGTGTCAGGGTCTCCATTAGCTGTTTCTTCTGCCAGGGGAGACTCCTTCCAAAGCAGGGTAATGACTCTGGAAGAGCATTTTCCATAGGGCTTTGTGGGACAGCTGTTTTCTGCACCATTTTCCTGATGTGTGCAAGTTTTTAGAAGGGAGTTTTCTTTGTCACAGAGTTGAATGCTGGCCATGCGCTGCCGTGTGAGTGCTGCGGACAGCTAGAGATACAGCCAGAGCTGTGTTCTGACTTGAAACTTGTGTGCTGCTCTTGCTGTAAGAAAGATGAGCATTAATGCTGCTTGTTTCAAACTCAGGAGGGTGGCAGGTACCTGTAACTATTAATTCTCTTGCTGCCTCCTGTAGTTGGAACTGAGAAGGAAATGCTTTTCGTAGAGCTTCTCGAGCGTAACCTCTAGTACGAATTAGCTCTGTGCACCCTTAAACTACATCTCTGTATATGGAGTAATTCTGTTGGTGTCATTCTGTGCTGCTTCTGGAGAAAATGGCAAAAAATCGTTAGATTTCCATTCATTTTTCAAAGTAGAAACATGCTTTGTGCAACCTTGAGCCCCTGGTGTATGCATTGATTTTTAGCTGCTTAGTTGGCTGGCAGTTAAGGAATGTTTGGCTATTGTCAGGACTTCACTTGACAGTCAAAACAATTCATGTATGTCTCTGGAAGTGCTTGTGTTGTTTTATAGCTGTAGTTATTACAGAAACCCAGGTGGGTCCAGTTAAAAAGATGAACATGATTGCTGTTCTCATAAGGGGGGGAGAGTATGGAAACTCTGAATGAACTTGGCCAAGTTTATAAGTACATGTGATAATCTGGAGACGGGTCTTACTGTGTGAAAGGAGAGTTTAATAGCAATTACATGATTTGTTCTTGATACAGATTGATAGTAGTGTGTAAGATGTAAATAGTGTTGAAAGGTAAATGCACTGTCAGAAGCTTGTTAGTGTATCTAAATTCCTTTGGGTATGGTAGAGTTGAGCATAT